ACCTTCCTTCCGAGGAGTGGCTGGTGGGTTTGAACCGCCAGCCTTCTGGTTAGCAGTCAAGTGCCTTAGCCACTATGCTACCAGAGCTTGAGAGAGGGCAGTTAAATTGCCAATTAATTGGTAGGTTTTTCTTTTTCATTCTTTCAGTTTTTGCTCTATGTATTTTGAGGTCCACAAAGATTACAGCCTATAAAATCCTGTAGGGCAGTTCTGCTCTATTCCATGGGGTCACTGTGAGTTGAAAATCACCTTGAAGGCACCTAGTAACAACATACTACGTTTATTATGTCTGTTCAATGAACTGCGTCTTTTGACAAGATTAAATGTCTTTTTTTTTTTTTTTTTTTTTTAATAGTCTTTGGAAATACTCCTTTTCTTGAAATCTCCTTTATCTAGTGTTAATATAACTACTTTATGCTTATTTAAGTGCCTTCTTATGCTTTCTTGGGTATATATATTTTTTTATTTTTTTACTTTCAACCTTTGTCTTCCTATTTAAAATAACTCTTTCAATATAAAGACACCCCTTAGAAGGATCAATCATGGGAGAACAGAAGGGCAGTATTTACATAGGGAGATGGCTCGGGGGCAGGAATGTATATAGGAAAATTAATTTGCTCTGTAAACTTCCATCCAAATCATGGGTGAAGAGAAGGGCAGTGTACCAAATGTGAGTGATCAGTATGGTGGCATTGAGGAAGAGAAAGAGAGGTACATGGGAGGTACAGACAACAAAGATGAACTCTTTTGCACATACAGTACTGCGTTGTCAGTGAAGGCAAACATGGGTATATGGTTGGACAGATGGGTGGACAGGCTGAACTAGTAGGCATGTCTATGAACTGGGAGTGTACCCAAGAACATGTATCAGGTTGGCATACAGTGGTCCTATAAGTTTATGTGTATGATCTGCATTCCCAGGTATATAGTAAAGCTGATAAGAGGCAAGGTGGTAGTCACTGCTTGGTCACAGCCAGCTACCCATAGGGACGGAGTAGTTGAACCAGTGAGCTTGGGACCATAGTCGCAGGGCACATCAAGCTCAATTGGCATAACATACTACACAAAACATTGTTCTACCTCCTACTTTGGCGAGTAGCAACTGGGATCTTAAAAGCTTGCAAGCTGCCATCTAGATAAAACAGTGGGTCTCTCCTCGTCCAGA